GGCACTGGGGTTCCCCCAACATGCCCTCGTGACTGGGGCAGCGGCAAAGACCTCGCATGACTTAGCAGTCACCCAAGTGGGTGACCTTGGCTGGTTCTCTCCATGGGGGGTTAAGGGTCCCAGAGGCCTCTCTAACCCTAATTCTAGACCAGCTAGGAGCACTTAGCCACAAGGGACAGAATGAATTGGAAGCCACTTCCCTGCTCACTGATTCTGAGCGCACACCAGGCCTAGGGGCACCTTCCACCCCCAATTCCCACCCCAAAGTGCTGGAAACACACGGGGCATTTGCAAACATTCTGGGATGTGGCCGATGATCTGGAGGAGGCTGGGGCTGTTTTGCCTCGTGTTTCTTTTTTCCCCCCATGTGAAGCCCAACGGAGGAAGATTCTTTAAACAATCTGTATTTCTCTCCTGCTTTAAATTCATGCTGTGGGACTTAAACAAAACCGAATCCTTTACCCACCCGCTAGCTACAAAAACACTATTTATTTTTCCTGCAAATGGATCGTATGGAGGGTAAAACAAATATCTTTCTGTGTTGAGATGTGAGTATGTAACTCTCCTCCAGCCCACCCCGGCCAGACATCTGGCAGAATGACTGAACATATTCTAGCCTGGGGAAGCGGGGGCCCTGCAGACCTAGTCTTCTCATCCAACAGAAATCACAGGCCTGCATTCGAAATTCGTTTGTTTGTTTGTTTGTTTGTGGGCCACATGCAGCAGTGCTCAAGGATCACTCCTGGCAGTGCTCAGCGGGCCACATGGGGTGCCAGGGATCGAACCCGGTCAACTGCATGCAAAGCAGGCGCCTTACCAGCTGTACTATTGCTCCAGCCCTAAGACCTGCATTTTAGGCCTATTTGCTTGATAGTGGCCATGGCTGTGACTTGACTCTGCCTTCTCTCCCTCTCTCTGTCCTTAGTAACTGTCACTGGTGGGGGACTCAGGAACACAGGAGGAGTTGAACTGAGGCCCAGCTGTCACGAAACCCCAGGATTCCAGATGGGAGCATGGGAGTGTGACAGAGGCCCTTATTTTCAGAGGTGCTGCACTATTGAGTCTGGGGAGCACGCTCAAAGGGCTGAGCACAGCTGAAGACTCTGGGGCCTCCTTGGGAGGGGCCAAACTCTTGCCCTACTGAAGCCCCAACGGCCATCATACCAATGGCCAGATTCCACCACCTCATGACTGAGCTCTGCAGAAACAGCAAACTGCCAAAAATTTCAGGTACACCAGTGCTTTGGCTGAGAACTATGGGGTCTTTGGAGTGAGGGTAGGCGGCCTCCCCCTAGCCCTCCGGAAGTGCAACAGCTATGCCTACATCCCACAACTGCCACCATATAAGTGCCACCAAATATAAGCTCACAGCCCAGTAAAATACTCTGGAGTTTTCTGGAGCAAGTGGCCACACTGTGGTCGAATGACAGCTCCAAACTTACAATACTGACAGCCCAGTAGGAGCACACAAGATTTGATGGGAAAGTGACATAGAGGTGAATTAAGATCCAAGAACAAAAACAATAACACAACAGCTCAACTAGCCATGAACAGCTCAGGAAACCGTCAGACAAGGACTTAATATCCCCACGGTGAGATATAAGAATTTTCACAAATTTGTATTTACTGAATTATTTTTCAATAATCCCATTGGCCACTTAGTTGTAACAAGCGAAACAAAATAAATTATTTGGACCTGCTCAGGGGGCAGGCTTGGGGGCATGGGAGGGGAAAATGGGGCAACGGTGGAGGGAAGGTCACACTGGTGGTGGGACTGGTGTTGGAATATGTAGCACTGTCCTCCCGTTGTTCATCAATTTGCTTGAGCGGGCACCAGTAACATCTCCATTGTGACACTTGTTACTGTTTTTGGCGTATTGAATACGTCAGGGGTAGCTTGTCAGGCTTTACCATGCAGGCGGGATACTCTCGGTAGCTTGCTAGGCTCTCCAAGAGTGGCAGAGGAATTGAACCCGGGTCGGCCGTGTGCAACACAAATACCTTACCCACTGTGCTATCACTCCAGCCAGCAACTTTGTATACCACAGTGCTTAAATAAAATGGAAAAATCATTTTTTTAATAAAAAGGGCTCGCCATCTCCTTTGCATACTGGAGGGCTGAGTTTGATCCCTACGCCATGAACCTTGGCCTACACCCCTATCCTCTCCAGCACTGCTGGGAGCAGGCCCAGAGCAAGGCCAGGTGTGATGAAAAACAACCTTGTGCTAGTGAGTTCATGAGAGAACAGGGGATTGGGGAGAGGGCACTCAGCGCCTTGCACACGTGAGCTTCAAACCTGATCCCCACCACCCCCCAAATGCCAACACTGACAATAACAACCACCCGAAGGAAGGGGACAAAACTATCCCACATGCCCTAGAATCTTCTCTCTCTTGCTCTCGTCAGAGGAAAACCTCACCTTCTGATCTGGACCTACGGTTTTTGTAGCTCATCCATCCTGGGGAAAAAAGTTAGGGTTTTGTCCCTAGAGATGCCTGGTTGGCAATGGGCCCAGGATCTTGGGCATAAGCTGAGTCACCTGGCCAGCCTGGTTTAGACCCGAACCCAACCCACGCTCTCTTCTGGCCCCCAGCACTGGGTCTTTGGGGGAAAAAAAAAGGTTTAGTATCCCCAGGGATGGTACCCAAGGATGGAACCTCACACAGGCAAGCAAGGGCTGTCCCTGAGCTCCAACCCTGCCCAGCAGTGGTTTCTGGCAGAGGGTAGCGCTCTGGTGCCAAGACCCTCTCTCTCTCTCTCTCTCTCTCTCTCTCTCTCTCACACACACACACACACACACCCCATCCTGTCCTCAGATTCTCCCACCAGGCTGCCTAGCCCGGTCATGACTAAGAGCTCCCCAGAAGTCAGTGACCAGTCAGTCAGTGACCCTGAGAGTCCCCCCCCCCCCCCCCCCCCCCCCCCCCCCCCGCCACCCTTTTGAAAGATGATCCTTGGCTCTGTCCGCACAGCCCAGTTCTCAGGGATCTGGTTAAAGCATCTGGGACTTGGGGTTCCTGGGAAATCGACCTTAAGGAGCTGGATTGTAGCAGGGGGCATGGCCAGAGGGGGCATGGACAAGGTTAGGGACAGGGGGAGGGGCTGAAGGAGTGCATGGCCGGAGGGGGCGTGGCCATGTGTGGGCGTGGTCGGAGGTGGGCGTGGCCAGGGCAGCCCCACCCCAGGAGCCCGGGACAGCGCGTGCCAGTATGGGACCAGAAGATGCTTGCTGGTCAATCTCAGGCCCTAAAGTCCCCACCTCCTCGGTGGGGGGGTGTCACTGTAGAACCCTAGAGATTCAAAACCTGGGTTTTCAGCTCTAACCAATGCCCCTGACTGATCAGCTCCTCCAAAGGCAGGGAGGTGCTGGATGGCTGCTCCCCTGTCTCCCTACACACACACACACGCACGCACGCACGCACACGCACGGCACGCGCACACCCACACAGGCTCCGATTGCTGGATGCTCCCACCTTCCTACAGGGCTGCACCACACCTCCCAGGAGCCAGCCGCCGCCTGCAGAGGCCGCTCTCTGCCCGGCTCCTTCCTCCTCGCCGTCGCGAGAAGAAAAGGCCAAGGGTGTTGTGCAAGGCTGGAGTCTGGGCTCTGGCCCCAGCGAGGGTGTGGGCAGGAGAGAACGCCCTGGGTCTGGTCCCTGATGCTCAAGGAGGGACCGTGCAGGGCTGACGTCAGCGCCTGTGGCCGGTCATCGGCTCCCCAGCCAAGAGTTAGCCGCCCTGCCCATCCTGGCCCCCACCCCCTCAGCCCCACACCCCGCCCTGTGCCCCTGCTGAGTCCAGCCGCAGGGTCCTGCAGCTGGGCCATCCGTGAGACTCACGACCAGGTTTTCTGTGGCAGCGCTGTCCTCCCCCCAGGACAGCTGGCCAACAGTTGCCCCGGCATCCCTGGCAAGGCCCCCTGGTCCTGCTCTCTCTCCCAAGTCATCCTTGGACAGCACCTGGTTCCGGCCACCCCAACTGAGTGATGGATTTCCCAGACCTCAGTGTCAAGGGCACTCGCAGCAACCCTGGGCAGCCTCCCGTCATGGGGCAGTCAGTGCACGGCGTGGGGGTAGGGGACAAGGTGGGGGGGCATCTGGGACTCTCTGCCATGGCCTTGACAAGCTGATGGCATCTGGCTTGGGATGCCCCACACCATGCCCTCAGCCACCTCTGGGAGGGACACGGGCTAATGCTTCACAGATGTGAAGCACGCAGGGGGCACTGAGCACAGGGGCTTTGACTGTGTCCACTGCTGTGGAGGGACAGCTGTGGAAGCCTGCATGACCACCCCCAGGGAGGAGCAGGGGAGGGGGCAGCAGGGACACGCTGCAGGGGGGCTGGGGGGGAAGACAGGCCCTCTGGTTTGCAGGACGTGGGGGTGGAAGCAGGTGTTAGGGTGACCTCTGGTTGAGCAGCCTGGGTACTGTCCCTCAGGCAACTCTGCTGGACACTGTCCCTGAGTGTCCGCAGAGAGACCTGGAGCTAATGGAGAGGCCAGGCAGTGGGTGAGCTCCCATGGCCTTCGCTGGACAGTGGCTCTGGGCCAGATGGCATTACTGTGGGGAGGTGGTGGACCCCAGGCCAGGAAAGTCGTAGCCACTGACCTAACTTCGAGGTCCTTGTCACTGACCTTCTGGGGAGACCCCACCATGGACTTGGCCAGGTGCCCTCCAGGCGTCTACATGGAGGCCTTGGGGCGGGGGTGTAGATGCACCCGGCAGGAGTATTGTCACCACACATGCTGGCTGCCCAACATTGGGTTTGGGGGGGCCCCGTCAGACACGAAGACCCTCAGCTTTGCCCCGTAGTGAGTGTCCACAGAGGGAACCGCGGGTTTGGCCCCCTCAGTCTGAGGACTCGAGCTGGACAGGGACACCCCTCCCTGAGTCCCAGTGGCCTTGAGTTCTCACCAGACCCTCTGGTGTGGGGCCCAGGGCTCTGGCATCCAGCCCCCCACAGACCAATACAAGCTCCCCACACAGCTTGACATGCTTACCAGCGTCCGCGGCTCTGTCTCCCCGCTCTCCCTTCTCTCCCTTTGGGCCTCGGTCCCCTGCAACGGGAAGAGAACAGGCATCGGAGATGGAAGATGGAGCGGAAGGGGATGCTGGCGCGGGGCAAGACGGGCAGGAGCAAGGAGCCTGGCAGATAGGAAGGAGCTTGGCCAGCGATGCTGCCGGGTCCCCTGAGGGTCAGAGGAAACGCTTCCTTCCAGCGTGGACCAGAGGTGGACATAGCTCAGTGAGAAGACCAACAGGGACTGGGAGACAGTACAGTGGGGAGTGTATTTGTCTTGCACGTGGCAGACCTGGGTCCAATCCCCGGCACCCCTTATGGTCCCATGAGCCTGCCAGGAGTGATCCCTGAGAACAGAGCCGGGAGTAAGTCCTGAGCACCTGTTGGGTATGGACCAAAAATGAAGTAAGAGAGAAAGAGAGAGAGGGAGGAAGGGAGGGAGAGAAGGGAGGGAGGCGAGAAGGGAGGGAGAAAGAAGGGAGGGAGGAAAGGAGGGAAAGAGGGAGAGGGAGGGAGAGAGAGACCCAGAGAGGGAGAGAGGGAGGGAGGAAAGAAGGGAGGAAGGGAGGAAGGGAGAGAGAGGGAGGGAGAAAAGCGGGGCAGAAAGGAAGGGAAGGAGGGAGGAAGGGAAGGAGGGAGAGGGAGAGAGAGAGGGGGGTGGAAAGATGCTGTGAAGCCAGCAGGGAAGTTACAAAGCAGGAGTGAGACATCCTCAGGGTCTGGGAATTTCTTTTTTAGTCTGACAGGATGGACTCTGCCCTGCAGGACCAGCGAGGGGTGCCTGTGACTGAGCACAGGGCCTTCACGAGGAGGGACGTGACAGGGGGGAGGGGGGGCGCGTGAGGCTGGTATGGTGGGAGCAGAAAGGGGCGCGTGCGCTGCCTTACCTTTGAACCCGCGCATGCCCATGGGGCCGGTGGGTCCCAGCTTCCCATCATCACCCTTGGGGCCTGGAAGTCCTGGGGTTCCTCTCACCCCGGGCACGCCTAGGGATACAAGAGTTTCAGGGTGGGGCCGTGGAGATGGTCGCCTCGAAGCACAGTCTGGCCAAGCAATTGGCTTCCCCACACCCCGTCTGCAGTTTCTGGATTCTTCTCTGGGCACTTAGCTGGTCAGCCCCAGCCACACCCAACCCCCTGCACCTGGCACCCACAGAGGCTGCCAGCCCCCCCCCCCCCAACCACCAGTCCACGGTCGGAGCTGGGGCCAGCACCCCACCCCAAGAGACCAAGACTGGTCAACACTTTGGGTCGAAACACTCTCCACAGGCCAGGCACTGTGCTGGACGCTCCTGTTCTGCAGCCACAGCTGGCAGTGCTCAGGACTACTCCCAGCTGGGTGCTCGAGGCAGGTGGGTTGTTCCCAGAGGTGCTTTGGGGGCCCTGTGGTGTCAGGGATCAAACTCGGGGTTCCAGCATGCTAGGTCAGCGCTGGACTTTTCAAGTCATCTCCTGGACCCTTTAGCTTCTCCTCTGGCCCTCATAACACACACTCTGCCCTTTCACCTAGGAGGACCCTGTGGCCCGGAGAGGGGACGTCATCTGCCCACCATCACATGGCAGAGAGCCGGAGGCAGGTTGTGAACTCTGGCTTCCCCGAGGCTCGGGGTCCGTGAGCTGAAGGCCAGGTGCTGGCGTGCTCAGGGCTCAGAGTGAGAGGGGAGAGAAATGCTTCCAGGCCTCGGAAGCAACACCCACCCCCCGCCCACCCGCCCTCGCCATTCGCCTTTCCTGCCACAAAGTATTGGCCAGTCTGGTGGCTTTTCTCTGGCTGTTTCCATGTCAGGAAGACCCAGCTCGCCTCCGGGCTGGACCCGGCCGGCCCAGGTCGGAGTCATGCAGGCAGGGGCCTCAGAAGAGGTGGGCGCGAATGGGTGGGTCCCTGTGTCCCCTCCCCTGCCATCTACCTGACCCTGGAGGCTAGAGGGGCGGGGTTGGGGGGTGCAGAGAGGGGGAGGAGGGGGAAGGGCAGAATTTTGGAATCTTGTAGGGGTGTGTAGATATGCGACTCTGGAGACGGGGTGAGGCAGGACACAGGGTCCCACCTGCTGTGCATGGTTGTGGACCCGTCCCTCTGAGCCTGGGGTCCCCCCCAAGGGCACAGTTGAGGGCAGGGCACCCGCTTTCCTGGAGGTGTGGGAAGGGCAAGGCTTGAGGGTGGGAGATGGCTCCTGGTACAGCTCCTTGACGCCCCTTCTAAGGTGTGTTCACAGCTGCGAACCAGAGGGTGGGAGCCACTGTTCTAGAAGCTTCTACTTGCTCCCAGAAAAATGCTGCTCCTGGTGGATCCAATGGGTGGGAGGAAAGTCTGACGCACAGGACAGATGTTGGAGGGGCTGAGGCGGAAGGCCGAGCAGCAGGGGCACCAGCCGGGCAAACACCCGTCGCTTCCCCACACTGGCCCTTGGTGCAGTGAGCACTGGACCTGGGTCCTTCCCGAGACAAGCATCCCGCACCCACAGTGTCTCAGGGGCCCCCCAACCTAGGGGAAGTGGTGGGGACTCCGTGCCCAGGGCCCTCCCAACCACCCCTCCAGCCCTTCCTTACCTTGGAGCCCTGGGATTCCTGGGAGGCCGGGCTGACCTTCCTTGCCTTCATCCCCCTGCTCTCCTTTGGGGCCTGGGGGGCCTGGAAGGGTCACAAACGGCACCAGTGTTAGAGGGGCTTTCCAGAACAGGCGGTCTGCAGGGCAAGCAACAAGGAAAGGGAAGGACAGCCAGAGGTGCCCCCAGCCCCTTGACCCCGAGATGCCCCCAGGCCCTTGACCCCAGAGATGCCCCCAGGCCCCTGACCCTGAGATGCCCCCAGGCCCCTGACCCCGAGATGCCCCCAGGCCCCTGACCCCAGAGCTGCCTCCAACCCCCTAACCGCAGAGATGTCTCCAGTCCCCTGACCTCACAGCTGCCCCCAGTCCCCTGACCCTAGAAATGCCCGTGTCCCCTGACCCAGAGAACCCCAGCCCCTAGTCCCACAGGTGCCTGTGCCCTGTCCTTCACTCAGGCCATGTCCCACATGGCACCTGGCACCCAGCCTCCCCGAGGCTGTTCATGATGGTGACATTGAAGCCCCTGACTCAGACACACCCAGTCCCAGCTGGCGCGCCCTCCGCCGTCCTGCAGTGTCTCCTCTCCCCAGGCTGCAACCAGAGACCATCAGTGCCGGGGCGCTCTCGTGCTCTGTGGGCCCGGCAGACAGACTCCTTCCAGCGCCAGCAGCAGAGGACGGAGAATCTTGGAGAATCCCCACCTGAGCTTTTCTCACACTTTCTCCTGTGTGTGTGTGTGTGTGTGTGTGTGTGTGTGTGTGTGTGTGTGTGTGCCTCCCCCCCCCCGCTACTTCCTTCCCTCCCCCCCAGTCTTTCTGTGACCACTTCAGTTACTGCATCTTTCAAAGGCGCACATACATTCCGACAGATGCAGTACTACAGTAGCACAGTGGAAGCCCCGTGGAAACTGGACACAGAGGCCAAACAGGAGCGCAAGCTCCTAGCCAGTTGCAGCACAGCGGGAGGAGGAAAATCAGCTCAGGAGCGACAGACAGAATCTGTTAACCCTCCTGGAACAAACCCTCAGGAGCGGATCTGTGTGTTCTGAGCCCGGAAGGAGCAGAGCGGAAGCATGTGTGTATACATGTGTGCACACGTGTGTACTGCATACATGTGAGCACATGTTGCACACGTGCGCTGCATGTGTAGCGCAGGTGTACTGCATGCGTGTGAGCTCACGTCACATATGTGTAGGCACATATGCCGCGTGCACATGTGTGTGTTCATGCACTTACTCAATGTGTGTGCGTGCACATGTGCGTGTCAGCGTGTGCAGAGACCTGTCAGGGTAGGACGGACGCTTGGACAGACGGACAGAAACACAGCAAAGATGTGCTGCAGAAGCGCCCCTTCCTCTAAAGCCAGTCAGAGCTCTGTCTCCTCGGCTCTGGTGGCGACCGCCTTGGCTGGGACTGGGAGTGAGGGGAGGACTGCAGGAGAGGGAAAGGGGTCCTGGTGGCACCATATGCTGCAGCGGGCTCAGGGGACATGAGGGTCAAGCATCACCGAAGAGCCGAGAAGGCACCCTGAGGCTTGGGCTGCAGGACAGGTCGGACCACAGCAGGGAAGGCGCACGAGAAGTGGAAGGGCCCGAGGAGGCCGTGGGCTGAGGCGCAGGGGTGGCTGTGTGAGAATCTCCGCTCCAGAGGGGCTGGGGCGGACAGCCAGGCTCCCCCTGCAGCCTCGAGGACAGCCCTGTGTCCACACACCTGGGCCAGAAACCCTGCTGGGAGCCATCGGCGCTGGTCCACGGCTGCTCCACACCCCTTCCTGGTCCTGCCCCTGTGGGCGCTGCTGGGAGCTGGGCCCAGGGGCCACATGAGGGTGGACAGTGGGGAGGGGAGTGGGGCCTGGGTGTTGGCCTGTGAATGCCCCCCCCCTTTTTTTTGCTTTTTGGGTCACACCTGGCGATGCACAGGAGTTACTCCTGGTTCATGCACTCAGGAATTACTCCTGGCAGTGCTCGGGGGACCATATGGGATGCTGGGAATCAAACCTAGGTTGGCTGCTGTGCTATTGCTCCAGCCCCTGAATGCCCCTTTTTATTAAATTTGGGGGTCTCCCAAGCAGTGCTCAGGAGCAGTGGGTTCCTACAGGTGACCCTTGGCCATTCGGGTCAGTGCAAACACCCGAGGGGTGAGACTGCTCGGCCTGCAGTGCTCAAGCACCGGGCCCAGGCTCCCCATGCTGGGGTCTGCAGGGCTGCACCTGGCCATGCCAGGAACCACATGGTGCCAGGAATTGTACTTGAGCTGGGGACGTTCTTGGCAAATGCCTTAACTGCTGTCCTATCTCTCAGCCCCTAAGTGCTCTCTCATTAAAGTCCTGGGTGCCAACCTTGCCAGATGACTGGAAAAGTGAGACCCAGGAAGTGCCAATGTGGGTCAGTCTCTTCCATTATGTGCCAGTCTGTGCCAACCTGTATCAGATGGCTCCAGTCTGTGCTGGTCAGTGCTGACTTTGCCAGATGGCACCAGACCATACCACCCCATGACAGTCGATGCCAACCCTCACCAAACCATATCAGTCTGCACCAGCCTATGCTAATCCATGCCCACCAGTGCCAGTCAGTTCCTGTGTCAACCTGTGATAGGCAGTACCAATCTATGCCACCAGTTAGTGTACATCTATGCCAGGTTTTGCCTATCTGTGCCTGATGGTACCAGTCAATGCCAACCCAGTCAATTGGCTCCAGTTGATGCTAACCAGGTAGTGCCAGACTATGCCCACCTGTGTCAGTGCCGATCAGTGCCAGCCAATGCCAACTGATGCCAGTAAGGGCCAATATGTGCCTACCTATGCCAACAAGTGTATATACGTGCCAACCTATGCTAGGCAGCACCACCCAAATTTAGTCACTGCCAGCCTGTGTTGGCACATGTCAACATGTTCCTCATGATGCCAAGCTGTACCAACCCCTGTGTGCCACCATTCTTGCCAACTGGTCAGGTGGTGCCAGTGTGCCCTGGGGAGCCAGTTCTGCCCTCTCGGGCTCTCAGTGGTTTTCTGCATGAACCCAGCCCTGCCCTCATTAATGGACCAGACTCTGCTGCAGAACAAAGCAGCATCCCTGACCGTCCTGGCCTCTGGAATGTCCCGCGGTCATGGAAAGCCCCACTTACACTGATGCTTCAGAGGGTCAGAGGGACAGAAGGGCTCCTGGGGATGGTAAACAGCCCTGGAGTCCAGCTGCAAGTCTCCAATACAGGGCCAGGAATGCGGCTCAGAAGAGCAAATGCCCCGCAGGAGTGAGGCACTGGCTTCCATCCCCACCACTGCCAAAAGAAGATTCTACAACATCTTATGTGTCTAGTGTTCCTTGGGGGAAAAAAATGGGACAAGGTCCACTCCAGCCTGGCCAAAATGGGCTGGACCAGACACAGCTCTTATCAGTCCCCTGACACCGAGGTCCCTTTACTAGCTAACCTTGGCTGGCCCCTTCAGACAGCTGTTTGCCTGCCCCGGAGCTGAATAGCTGGAGAAGGCAGAAAAAAGTGGGGCCTGTCCTGAGAGGCGGGGCCTGTCTTGGGAGGCGGGGCCTTTCCCGGGAGGCGGGGCCTATCCTGGAAGGTGGGGCTTGTGCTGGGCTTCCGGCCAGCAGCCCACCAGGTGTCTGGGTCAGCCCCCTGAGCCCCAGAGCACTGTCATTGTAGAAGGGGGTCCCTAGACTTCCTGAGAGCCGCTTCTGAAGACGGGCTAGCACTGGGCATTTTGATCCCCTGCTGTAAGCTTGGGGGAGGGGGCGGGGCTGTCGCTGACCAGGGGAAGCTGGGGTGGGCCATGAGCAGGGGACGTGGCTGCCTGGACATGGGGTTTCAGTAGGGACAGAGAGAGGCTGTGGAAGGGAGGCGAGGCCTATGGGACTCCGGGGGTGGGGGCGCCCCCTCCCTTCATCTGAGTGGACACATCACACTTAAATCCGGAGACCAGCTTTCTTACTCCCAGGGCTAGCCTTTTTTTTTATGCAGAGACCCCGTTTTTCTCTTCCCCTTTTGTTTAGGGGCCACACCCGGTGATGCTCAGGGGTTACTCCCAGTTCCACACTCAGGAATTACTCCTGGTGGTGCTCGGGGGACCCTACAGGTGCCGGGGATCAAATCCAGATGGGCCCAGTGCCCTTCTGCTGGACTATCACTCCAGCCCAGGAGACCAGCTTTCCATGGACCCTCGAGGCCCAGGGCTGAGTCAGAACCGCTCAGCTATAGCCACTAGCCGGAAGGGCCTGTCCCGGCAGCCCTGGCCATTGCACTTCCATGTCCTCCCCTGCAGCCTGGGGCTGGCCATCCCTCTCTGCTGCCACTCTCAGTATCACACTGCCAGCCAGAGGCTTAGCCAGGCGAGAGGATGCTCACCTTGGGAGTTGACATAAGCCACGTGGGCCTTTAGGACACAGGGACGGGGTGTGGGTCGCCAGGGCACCCGGGCTGGAGAGGCGGATATGTGTGAGGGGGTCGGGAATGCTGGGGGGCAGGTGTGCTGGGGGGTGGAGTGTGTGTGTGTTGGAGGCAGGTGTGTTGGGGGGGGCGGGGGTGTTGGGGGCCGGGTGTGCACTACCTTTGGCCAGCGTCAGGTTCCTCAGCGCCAGGGAGTGCTCCCAGTCCTTGAGTCGCAGGTCCTCGGTGACCGTGTTGAGCACGGCCAGCTCCTGGCGCAGCTGCCGCTCCAGGCCCAGGTGGCCGAGGCGCAGGCGCCGCGTGTCCAGGCTGGTGTTGACCACCAGCATCTCCAGGTCCTGCAGCCACGTGCCCTGCAGCGCCACGTCGTAGGCCAGGCTGCGGTTGAGGCCCCGCAGCGCGCCGCCCACGTCTGCCAGCTCCTCGCCCAGGCCGGCCAGGCGGCGCGCCAGCCCGTCCAGCAGCCCCGCGTGGCGCCGCAGCAGCAGCTGGGAGCGGTTGCTGTCCACCTGCAGCTGGTAGCGCTCCAGCTGCGCCGCGTCGCTCTGCTGGCCAGTGCGCTCGCCCAGCGCGGCCACCGCCTGCTCGGCCTGCGCCGCCTGCACCTGCAGCGCGCCCAGCGCGCCCTCCAGCCGCGGCACCGTGCCCGCCAGCGCCAGCAGCGAGTCCGTGTGGTTCTGCAGCGCCTCCTGCACCTTCCACAGCTGCTCCTCCAGCTCCGCCTGCAGCGGCGCCTGCAGCAGCCGCAGCTGCAGCTCCCGGAGGCTCTCGTTCAGCCGGTTCACGTGCACGGCCAGCGCCTTCAGGTCCTCGGGGGCGTTCTGGGGCCTGGACACTGTGGAGAACGGGGAGGGGGACGGATGAGCTCAGGAACCTGACCCGGCCAGAACTGGGCCCGCCGTAGGTGTCCAATAAAGATGCGTGCATGGGAAGCAGAGGGCGATGAGATCCAGGCAATGGAACCCAGCACTGGGCGGGGCATTGCATGCCCACTAGAATCACCTGGCCTGGGGAAATAGCCCTAGGCTAAGGTTTGGCGTTTCGTTTGTTTATTTATTTTTTGTGGGGGGCAGTATGGGCCACACCCAGTGGTGCACAGGTCCTGTTCCTGGTGGGGCTTGGGGGGACCATACCTGGTGCTGAGAATCAAACTGGAGTTGGCAGTGTGCAAGGCCTTCACCCTGTCTTACCCTTGTATCTCTCAAGCCCCTGGGCTGGGGAATTTTTTTGGAGGGGGTTGGGGACAACAACCTGCTCTGCTCAGGGCTTACTCTCAGCTTTGGACCACGCCCAGAGGGCTTGGGGGACCATAGAGGGTGCCAAGAATGGGATCCGGGTCAGGCACCTGCAAGGCAACTGCCCTGCCCACTGTACTGTCTCTCTGGACACAACATCTTGGGAATTTTTTAAGAGCCTGAAAGTTTTCACGGTACAGGTTCACTGATGTCAGGTATGAGGTGGATCCAAACAAAACATCACCGCTGCATGAAACATCACCTCCACATTAAATGTCACCTCCACATGAAATGTCACCTCCACATGCAACATCATATTCACATGAAATGTCACCTCCACATGAAACATCATCTCCACATGAAATGTCATCTCCACATGCAACATCATATCCACATGAAATGTCTCCTCCACAAGAAACGTCACCTCCACATGAAATATCACCTCCATATGAAACATCATCTCCACATGAAATGTCACCTCCACATGAAATGTCATCTCCACATGAAATGTTACCTCCACATGTCCACATGAAATGTCATCTCCACAGGAAATGTCGTCTTCACATGAAGTGTCACCTCCACACAAAACGTAATTTTAGAATGAAATATCACCACATGAGTGTTATCTTCACATGAACATCATCTCCACATGAAATATCATCACATGAAGACATCTCCACATGAAATATCACCTCCATGTGAAACATCATCTTCACACAAAACGTCATCTCCATATGAAACATCATCATCACATGAAGCATTCTCTCCACATGAAACATCACTGTCACATGCAACATTGTCACATGAAATGTCATCTCCACATGAAGCCTCAGCATCACATGAAACGTCACCTCCACATCAAACATCACATCATCTTCACATGTTGGCGTGGTCGCAGGGTTCTCCCAGGATACTGTCCTGCCCTCAGCTTCACAGCTTCCCCTCTGTTTGTGGGGTGGCTCCAAGCAGTGCTCAGAGGGTTTGGGCCACTCCTGAGATATCTGACCCATAAGCCTAAGGGTTCGTGCTCAGGCCAGTGCTGTGGGCTACCTGCACTGTGCTAGACTGGGTATATGGAGGCCTCCTGGACTACACCCAGGGGTGCTCAGGGGCCCTGTGGTTCTGGGAATCAAAATCAGGGCCGGAAGCATGCAAAGCCTTGAAGCCAGAGCTCTCTCCCCGGCCCTTGTTCTCTCTGTTCAGGGATTCCGCTATGAAAGGAGCCAAATAGACTGGGCTGGGAGCGGGGTCCCAGGCTGCCTCCTCCCCACACATTCGGTCATGGCCCCCTCTCGTTAAACGGGGGTGCCCAATCTAACCGTGGGTTTCCAGAAATACAGAAGGATCAACTCCTTCATTCTGAGCCTAATACCTCCAGTGATGTGGCCACACCTGTGCTTCTAGGAGAGTCTCCTCTGCTCCTGAGATGTCCATCGTGAGCCTGGAGTCTGCAATCTTTCATCAAATCTCCCCCAGTTTACAGAGGAAGAGACTGAGCCAGGGGTGGGCACATGGCTCAAATGCGAGCCTCCCCTGCCAGCACAGCCAGGCGTGGACAGAAGCAAAGGTTCTGAGGAAGTGAATCCACACGCTGCTCCCAGCCCGGAAAACACAGGAACTCTCTGCTCAGGAAGGCCTCAGACTGCATTGGCGTCTGAAAGCTGTGTGTATGTGTGTATATGTGCGTGTATGTGTGTTCATGTGTGCGTGGACACATGTGTGTGCACGGATGTTTGCCCATGTGTGTATGTATGTGTGTATGCGGGAGGGGCACATGTGTGGGGGCACACATGTATGAGTGTGTAGCATATGTGTATGTGTGTGTGGACACGTGTGTGCGCACGTGTGTCTTTGTCCATGTGTGTGTACATGTGTGTGTGTGTGCGTGGGGGGCATGTGTCTATGAGCACGCTTGTGTGTGCATGTGTGCATGTACACGTGTAGTATGTGTGTGGACACGTGTGTGTGCACAGGTGTGTTTGTCCATGTGTGTATGTATGTATGTGTATGTATGTGTTGGGAGGCACATGTCTATGGGCACGTGTATGTATGCGTGTGCGCATGGGCACGTGTGTCTGTGGAGGGGGCACATGTGTGCACACACACTACAAGCACCAGACACAGCACGTAGAGAGCGGAGAGGCGGGTCCTGGAGATGAGGCATCTGGGTTTCCAACGGGGAGAAGGTTCCAGGGTCCAGACAACCACCCACTTCCCTCCCACCTCTCCCAGGGGCCCCTGGCCCCCTGCCAGCCCTGCTGCCGCTTCTCTGGGTCCCACATCCGGGGCTGACTCGGGTTCCCTGGGGCCTCGACTCTCTGAGCCCTCTACCACTGCCTGGCCACGTTCATTCGGGTCTTTGCGGGTGGCTCGCTGTACAACCAGCATTAGCATAAACGTCCAAATAAAGAAACATTCCTACTTGGCCCCACGGAAAAGCCGTGCTGGTCCCCCCTCTCCCTCTCCTTTTTTGTGCTGCAGAGGGGGGCTGGGAGCACCTGATGCTGAGCCATGGGTCCCCGCCCCCACCCTTCTCCTCCTCGCGGGCTCCCTCATACGCACCTGGTCCTCGCCATTGGACTCTGGTTCATTGCATTGTCTCTTAAGGGCCTGTGGTTCTGGTTTCACCAGCATTCCCCCATCCTTCTGGCTTCCTGGTTTGAGGTTCTGCCAGAGGTTCAGACTCTCGCAGGCAGGCCTTGTCATCCGTCCATTCTCTGTCCTGCCTCTGACCGTCCCCCCCCCCCCCGACCGTGGTAAATAGGTGCACAGTCCACCCCAACTTCTGGAACACTTCCCCCCAAAGTTGAAATCGATCAAAAGGTGGAGACATTTTTATGACTCATAAAAATTCCAGCCAAATCATCTCCCAAATCACACCAGTGTTTAACGCCAACACAGATTTCTGCTGTTTTAAACTTTATTTTTTGTTATCATTTTGGGGACAGCAGTGCTGGGGATCGAACCGATGGCGTCACACATGCAAGGCAAATACTCTATTGCTGAGCCATGTCCCCGGAGAGGTTACAGTCCCTTTGTGGTTGCCACTTAAATGATGCCAGCGGACCCTCAGGTGACTTATGTGAAGCAGTGAGGAGAGAGATGGTCACTTTCTCTCAATCCACTTTTGCCACCTTGGGACCAGCTGGGAAGTCTAGGACCAATAAAGTCTGCCATGAGACCCTGCCCAGCATAGACATTGAGTCCCACAGCCCCACTAGGTGGCCATCAAACCATACCAGATGTCCACTTGTTCTACACATTCCTCACAACCTGATTTCTTGAGTCATAGACTCAGGCTGGAGCAAGGAATTCCCCTTTGCAGAAAAAGAAAGTCAACCCTAGGTCTTGCCCAGGCCTTTGGGGTCCTTGCCTTTTCACAGAAAAGAATTTCAGGAGGAGACAAGCAGTGAAGTAAAAACAATTTTTGGGGGGGAGATTTTTGAATAAGGGGTAAAGAAGGGGAAAGAGGGAGAGAAAAGGAGACCGAGTAATAAATTCAAGAGAGAGGCACGGGCTTCTTCAAAGGCAGAGAGAGAGCCCTAGCACACACCCAGCATTAGGTAGGAAATCCTGACAGTCCACATCTCAAGAGGGGACTTGCGGGTCACACATATGCCCGGGCATCACATGCTCTTGGCCATGACACATGAACACAGGCAGCACATGGACTCGGGCAGCTTATGCACATGCTTTCTTTGTGCAAGTTGATTTTTCTAGGGTTTCTTCCAATCTGCCCCACGTGGGACTTTCTGCCTAGGTAAGAGTCCCTTACTAGGGTGGTTTAAAGGGGGAAGTGGTGGGATTAACTGAGGGTCGTGTCTGAAATTCTTTTTTTCTTTTTTTGCTTTTTGCATTACACCTGGAAATGCTCAGAAGGTCACTCCTGGCCTTGCTCAGGGGACCCTATGGGATGCCGGGGATCAAACCCAGGTTGGCCACATGCAAGGCAAATGCCCTACCCGCTGTGCTCTCACTCCAGGCCCTCTGAAATTCTTTTTTATTTACCTTTGTTCCTGCTGGAGCCTCTTTTGGAGGGGGTTGGGTGGGGGTGTCCAGCCTTCTCCGGTCTGTGCTGGCACCAGGCAAAGGTCTTATCAGGCCTTTGTTCCTGTGTCCACATGGTATGTCCTGACAGCCTTAGGGTTAGTTGGTTTCATGACTTCCCAGGAATTTCACTGCCCTGGGGACCCTTTCCTGTCCACCTGCCTGCCCCCAGCTCTTTAACTGGGTCCATTTGGAGCGAGAACACAGGGGGGTAAACGTGCTTGCCTTGCTCGTGACCAACTTCTCAGCTCTGATCCCCCAGCACAGAATATGGTCTCCTGAAATGCTCACACACACACACACACACACACACACACACACACACGGGAAAAAGAAAACAAAGGAAAAAGGTGAATCCGTGCATTTGCCTATTCATTTCACAGACACACCATGCCACCTGGTCATTTTCCATGTCAGCACGTTTGCATTTGAGAAGAGGCCTTTGCTGTTTTGGTGGGGTACTTCCCAGCAGAGCTGGGGCCACCAGGGCTGCACCTAGCAGTGCTCAAGGGACCATCCGATGTCAGGGACGGAACCCAGGACCCTGAGTGTG